TTCTTAAAAAAAATTTTCTATTTTTTATTTTAAGAAGTATACTGTTTATGAAAGTGGAAAAAGAGATGACGAAACCACGAAAGAAATTCTTATTTATAGTATATTATCAGTAAATCACTTGACTTTTAAATCCGTGATGATTTTTTTTTATATGATCAAATAACTATAGCAGTAACAACTGCCGGATGATAATAACGTTATTGTATGGCGGACAAAGAAATATTGGTATGGTGGTACAGGTGTAAATAAGTGATCAGATCAAATATTTGTTAGAGGTATGTGGGCCGCTATCGCGGCCCACATACCTTTAACAAATATTTGATCTGATCACTTATTTACACCTGTACCACCATACCAATATTTTTTTACCCACCATACGATAACTTATAAGTATATTGTAAGCTACTAATCTAGAACAGATTTTTTGGCCAAAATTGTAATCTAAGTCATTGTATACTAGAATTTCAGTTTTAGGTATGTATTCATTTTTGATTTGCATTAACAAATTATTTGCTAAAATTGTATAAGCAACAATATCATAATGCCACTAATTAATAGCATTTACAGCATATGCAGTCTTGTCTGAAAGATATTTAGTCACAGTCTCCCAAAATGTATTGTATTTAGAAGGTTATTCAGTATTATGCTCATGCAAGTTATATATAACTTCAGGATCTCCAAGATCTAGAGCAAGTTTAATACAGGAATTAATTTTTGCTTTATTTATAGATTCTGCTCAAAAGTATCTCTAGTTAACATTTAATAAATAGTTCTGGCCTTACTTTGGCAAAAGTATATTACAAGCATATAAATAATTGATTCTCATTCCTCTTGTATGATAATGTGGTGTACAAAATTTTAAGCTATTAACAATAGATATATTTTTTTGCAGAGTTGTTGTTTTATCAGCACTCTCATCAAGCTTCCAGATTGAAATAGTATTAAATATATTGTTTCTAGAATTGAACCTGTATTCACAAATCTTAAAAGAAAATATATAAATAAGTCTTTGTATATACTGTGATTTTTGCCTTAATAAATGCAAAATAAATTAGATATTATTTAAATGATATAATATTTCTATTTTTTTTAAAAAAAAAAATCACTAGTAAAATTTAAAAACTTCTTTATATAAATAGCATAATTCGAATTAGAGATTGGAACTGGGTTTAATAATTTGGATTATTACATAAATTTTGTAATATTTTAGAATTTAATTCAATTAAATTTTAATAAATTTTAAAATATCACAAAATTCTTGTAATAAGCCCAAATTATTAAACCCAGTTCCAACCTCTAATTCAAATATTAATAATACTACTTAAACTGCTATCTGAACTTCTATTTATCACAATTACATGATTTTGTGGACATGTATGTCTATAAAATTATATAATAGTAATGAATAGAAGTTCGAATAGTGGTTTGAATAGTATTTGAATTATGCCATTTATATGATAAAATTTTTTAAATTTTGCCAGTATAATATAAATCCTATTAACTTTAAATAATAAAAATTACATAGCTATAATTCTAACAAGCAAATATATGCATACATATATATTATACTTTGTTAGGGGTTTTTTAATATGAATATATTTCTAGAAATACTTATATGAAGTCTATAGATAAGAACTCTTTGATATCGATTGACTTCCATGGTGATAAGTTTACAAGTGCATTTTCTAGTTTCTTATATTTAGTTTTATTAGACTAACTAATCTAAATATTTTGTTTGTAGATCTTTATACTTGTAAATTCTTCTATACTTCATACAGAGATATAATTTGTAGCAGTAATTTTTTTTTGTCTTAGAAGAAAATTGATATAATTTGAGATTGTTATAATAAAATTATCAAGTACATCATGATGCTATTTGAATCTTAGCATTAATATCCATAGTATTATAATATAATGTATAAGAGCTTGATTGCAAAAATTGAGTTCATTTGTATTAAGGTTTATTTATTTTTCTTTATATGATTTGGAGTTAGCATGTCCAAAAATTTTTATGAGCATTTGTGAAATATAGTAACTTTGCTCTTCAAATTTTTGTGACTTCACATATTGATATACCAAATAATTTCTGTGAAACATGTTATAAACTGCTTCTCTTTTGAATTTGCATATGTAGATGATAACTATCTGCCTCCATTATGACCAATCTAATTAATTATATCTTGTTATAAGAGTTGTTTTCTGTTTGGTTTTGAATATTGTAAAAAGTTAGGCAGATATAACTAATTTTGTTGTATATTTTGCAACATAAATAAAAATTTTTACAATGGTAAAGTTGAAAAATTATTAGTATTAAGATAGTAGTATACATTTGCTTCAAAATTACAGGTAAGTTCTACAATACTACAATTAAGACTGGCTTGCATCACAATTGCATTTGTTAATTTACTTAATTCAACATGGTCTATAGTATCTAATAAATCAATATTAATATTGCAGTCTTCTGTTATTTGCCATGTTACAAGTTTATTAAAAAAATTTTGAATTGTTATTTTATATAAAATAAGATGTATATACTATCTATAAAGTGATTTTGAACCTTTTAAAATATATATATTAGCAAATAGCATTGTGAAACACTTATACTATCACTCAAGAATATTTTAATTACAAAAAGCACTATTAAAGTTTAATTCAATATTGGACTACAAAATATATAATATATTTGAAACTTTTATAGCTAATAATTTATTTCATTAATGTTAACTTATTATTAACCTAACTTGGAAATATAATCAATTAATGCTTTAATAATAATTGTGCCACTCATCCAAACTGATTTTAGCTTGTCAATTGCTAAAAGAGCATTATATATATACATATAATATATACAAGTTTAAAAGTATTATATAGATTTATATAACGATATATAGGAACTTCATTAATTAAAATCAGACATTTTACTTGTAAAAAGTTGTATCTTTTTCTTTTAATTTTATAGAGTCAATTTTTAAACATTTACACCTTTTGTTTTTTAGTAGTTTTTATTGATTGCAGTCACATCATACATTTAATTTTTTTTTTTTTTTTTAATATTAAGGTGACCACTTAGGTCCCTGGCACTTAGCTATATTCAGGTAATTACGATATTATATCAATTTCATGAGGATACAACTAGCTACATATGTACTTTTGGTACCTAATTTAAGTAGTCCGCCTGGGTTCTACACTAGCTGCCATATCTGCAACCTAACTAGGAAATTATCTGGCTTCATATTGGCATCATCGTTGTATCAAGGTTAAAAATTTTATAGAATAAGTTTTTTGTTATAATTTTTTGTATTAATAAAATAATTTTTATTAATTTTCTTTACTTGTTTAGAATCATCTACTTTTAATAAATCAACTCAAAGAAAACAATCACATAATGAATCGGTGCAAATTAATTTATCACAGGATGAATCTATTCAAGGACTTAATGAACTTATTCGTGGTGCCATATTTATTAATTCCTCAGTCACAATTCATTTTCACAAACATTAACATGCTTGAATTTTATTTGTAAATTGCATGTAACTCTTAAATTCTTTTAATTAGAATTTTAAAAACAAATACCTACTTAGCTCTATTAATTGTGAATTTTAACTGGCCCTGACAATTAAGAATTGTAAAAGTAAAAATCTACTTAGCTTCAGTGATTGAGAGTTTTTAAAGTGAAAACCTACTTAAGCTACTAACTCCAATGATTAAGAATTTTAAAAGCAAAAATTTACTTAAATACTGGTACTGGTAATTGAGAATTTTAAAAGAGATGACCTCATTAAGTTACTGATTCCAGTGATTGAGAATTTAAAAGTGATGACCCAACGATTAAGAATTTTAAAAGCGATGACCCAACGATTAAGAATTTTAAAAGCGATGACCCAAGAATTGAGAATTTTAAAAGTGATGACCCAACGATTGAGAATTTTAAAAACAATGACCCAACAATTGAGAATTTTAAAAGTGATGACCTAACGATTGAGAATTTTAAAAGCAATAACCCAACAATTGAGAATTTTAAAAGCGATGACCTAATGATTGAGAATTTTAAAAACAATGACCCAACGATTGAGAATTTTAAAAGCGATGACCCAATGATTAAGAATTTTAAAAGCAGAGAATTACTTGAATTACTAGTCCTGGTGATTGAGGATTTTAAAAATAATAACTGACTTAAATTACTGGCCCCAGTGAATGAGAATTTTAAAAGCGACGATCTACTTAAATTACTAACTTCATAAATTAAGAATTTTAAAAGTGAACGTCTAATTAAGTGACTGGCCCAATTGATTAAGAAGTTTAGAAAATAAAATCATAATTATGTTATTGTTCTATTTAAT